GCGCATGTGTGGGCATCGCAGCGCAGCGTCGCGCAGAGGAGACGCTAAGAATTAAAGCCCCATAAATGGACGCCGCAGACCCGGAGGCCATATAATGGAATGGACGAGCGAAAAGGCATGCGTCCTCCTGGTGCACCCCTTTTTCGCTCGCACGCGCACGCTTCATCCACCTCTGCGTCTGCGTCTCCGCATGACGCCACGCCCACCCGTCACCAAGAACGACGGGCCGAGAGAGGAAGGGAGGGACGACAGACCCCGCCTCCCAAAAAGGCAAGCCACCGCGCCACGTAAAAACGCCCACCACACGCACGCAAATCCTCCCTTGACACCCACACAAAACGAAATACGAAATAGGAAGGTAACACAAAACAACACGCACCTCACCCGAACACCGTACCCGCGAGCGCTTGCGCATCCCCGCCTCCGCGAGGTCGGGGCTCTTGCGCTTCTTCGTTGTCACGCGCTGAGGGGGGGGGCGTGCTGCTGGATGGGGAGTGGGAGATGACGGTGCGCGAGGTGGATGCGATGGGCGTGCTGGGCACGGGGGTGTGAGGCCCCAGCGGACTCTTGGTGCGAGGCGGCGTGTGCGCCACGCTGTTAAGTCCTTCCTGATTGAGTCTTCCTTCTTCCTTCCTTGCGGTAATCTTGCGCTGTATCCTGTATTATCCTATCCTTGCTTCTTCTATGCGCGTCGGATTTGCGGTATCCTCGTCGTGCGTAAAGTCGTCCTTCGGGCTTCTTCTTTGCGACGGGGCGAGAGTGTAAGCTGACTTGACAGGACGCCCCTGCCAAACGGGCGCAAATACCAAACACCGCGCGGCGCGGGGATGACTCCGCGCCACGTGCCCGGTACCCTCTTGACCACCATCTTAAATTCGCCTTGCCGACGGGCCTTGCTCCCATAATCCATTGCGCTGTGTCTTAGAGGGAGGAGGACGCGACGCGACGCGCATTGCAACCGTTGACTCAACACCGTGATCGCCGATTGGGACCCGTTGTACGTCAAATGATTTACCCCAACAATTCATTGGAGCCCCTTCAGGCTTCGCCGCGCAGATCCCCCTTTTTTAACGTGCGTGATCCGTTGCCTGAAGACGAAACAGGAAAAGAAAGTACCTCATTGGGCAAGAGACCCCGCACCCGCAAGCAGAAGGTGATCCGTTACGGTTTCTGTTGCAATTCACTCATTGAATCCATTGCCAACGACACTTAGGATGATCGGCCGGAGGCTTTTCACTTGCAGTGATGGTGGAGGTTTCCAGAACGACTCTTCCGAATACAGTAGGTGAGTTATCCTCGGCCTCTGACACTGGCAGTAACTCTCCGTAACTCTCAACTCCGACGGTGATAATACTTGGGTTAAAAAAACTGGCCGTAACCCGTTCGTATTCTAAACCTTATTTCCCTATCACTGATATCCCCACCGCCGTGGCAGTATGGCGGAATCAATTCCGCTTGCGGGTGCGTGCGTCAAACAAACGATCTACCCTAACACGCAATAATCAACTCAATCCGTTCGAGGCACGCAGATCCCCCCCCCTTTTGCGTCTTTCGTCCGCACTGGCACACAGCTGATCCGTTGCAATATAACTCTGAACAAGACATTGATTGAAGGTTTTTACTTGTGCCGATGTTGGAGGTGGATATACCGTTGCCCCGTGGACATGCTTCGTTGACCTCCAATCAGTAACTTAACTCTCCGTGATGTACTCCGCCTCCAACTCCGACGGTGATAGTAAAAAACTACTCGTGTTCTAAACTTTATTCCCTATCACTGATATCCCAGATAGCGGAATCAATTCCAATTCTGCTCCCGGTGGCGTTTACTGTTTACCGCGTCCCCGAGGTCCCTGTTCCATGGCATTGAATGATTAATTGTCTGTGCCTGCAAGTGATACCAGATCGTACAGCCAGACACCCACGATTTCTGCACTAATCCGTCCGTACTCAATATTACATCGAACAAGGTATGTATGTATACCCAAGCTCTAACTCCACACAAATAAATAACATTCCTCCCGCTCCAGCTCCTACTCCTAAATATTCCGTCGTTCCAACCTGCTCCTCAATCCTCACGAACCCAATGTGGGGCCATGCGTCCAGCCCATTGCGAGCTCTATAATTATTTCCCCAGCTCTCGCTAAACAAGAAAATGCGCACACTCCTCCACCATGATGAATACAACTGTGAGAATGTATGTAGTCTATGTCTTGTTCCGAAGTATCCGCGCCAGGACGGCGTTCGACTTCCTGAAGACTTGGTGCGGGCGGTTGGTCCGCTTAACAGGGTTTTTCTCCCAATGCTATACAGGTTGAACGTGTAATTCAACTCGAGCGGCGAGTTCGGCAAGCCTCTCCGACCGCCGGCATGCAGTGCCAGTCCCGCGCCGAATAGTTCAGAAAGTGGTTGACGTTGCAACCGAACGGTCGGCGGCTCCATTAGAGTCTATATCGACTTCCTTCCACTGCACAGTAACCCGAACGGTTATCCTCTTTCTGCTGCCTTTGTTCAACGCATGTGTTGCCGAATCAATCAAACACCGCTGTGATTGCCGAGACTACCGGCGCTCCAAGTGTGCTATGTGCAAGATTCGAAGTGCCGGAGATTTAACGGCTGTCGCGTGTATGCTAACACACAGCTGCATGTAAAATTGTCACTCACCGAGGTCGGACTCTTCCCGCGGGCATCTACCAAATATTAATGAACCTATAATTTTTTTAATCAATCCTAACTATTCAAGCGGCAGGGCAGGTTCGAGTTCCTACTTCTCGTCCTGTTTCCAACTTTCAAATTCTCAGCCCGACGTAAACAAAGTTCGCACGAGCTCAACCCTACCACCCCTTGAATAACGGGAGGGTAGTATTAATTTAACTGCGCTAGGGCAGAGCGCTCTTGGTGTAACGGGCGTCCGACTCCCCCCGGGCGCCTAGTCAATCCGAGCACTTGCTTTTTATTCCCCCCTGTTCCTCAATCTACACATGCCAAATCATTGACGAGTTCGACTGGACCGGACTTTCAATCTTTTAGGTGTGACAGACAAAGTCTGTTACGGGGCGACTTCATCGCTACTTTGAGTCTTTTCTTTTGTGGGCCAGGGAGACATTACGCCGCTATTCGACGCGGGGAATGAAGCACCGCATTGACTTATGACGGGAGCGCCGCCCGAGGCAAACGAAGGAACCGACTGATTATGAGGAAGTTGAGACTCTCTGTTGCATAATTTCAGTGAGAGGGATCGATATCCGGATGCTGAACCGTTAAAGAGGCACAGCCACTCCACGCGGGTCCCGAGTCGAAGCCGACGATGAGGGAGGTTGCGGCATTACAGCCAACGACAGTACCGAAGGCGCGGATCAAAATTTTCTAAATTTGGAGGTTTTTGACATTTCTGAAAGAATTAGCCCTATCTCGCCCAGTTCTGCACCGTTTGGGCTGTAAGTATGCTAGATAATTTGGGCTAATTCATATGCAATTACTCATAGAGCCAAAACAACGAAATAAACTTTTTTTCAATAAGCTGGGAAATCGGGCTTGCTGTGCAGTAAATTCACGCCAGCACTCTCAGGTTACCTCCAAGTGCCGCAGTTTTTGATGCAGGGAGACTGACATGTTTTTCGATGAACATCATAGATGCAGATGACTGCATATCGCCCCCAGAAATTTTGAAACCGCACTATGGGGTATTTTTCAGCGAGCATGTTGAAATCAACTGGACTCTTCAATCTGAACTGCGGAAAACACCCAGTAGATAATGTGAGGCATCCATCGAGCTTGATTATGTCCTTAAGGCTCTGCGCTACATGCCACCAATTAGACGTGTCGTGTCACATACCATCATCATGCAGTCACCCAAGTCACAACATCCAACCTCCGAGTCTGCACTTTATCGGCATCATTAGACACATGTTCTGACTCATTCACCCATCCACCAAGTACTAAACTCCTGCACCTTACACCTCAGTAGAAAGGGAAGGCTGAGTTGTACCCGAGGTTTGTTGTACGACTTGCATCGAGAGGTTGAATCTCCAAATCTTCTGCTCACTCACACCCGTAGATCATGTTTCTTAAAGCACACCTTAGAGGTCAATGCAACAGTACATGGCCCTCCCTGCTCGTCTTCCCCCTCTCCACAGACAAGCTATTATTATTATTTCCTATTCAAACAGAACAGGTGGGACTTACTGCTTCCAAGTTCTATGAAGGTATTCCTCTTGCAGCTTTTGTTCCTCCTAGCACAGTATCAATCACAATCAGATTACCAAGATATCCACAGCCAATGAAAGCCATAGAGCTCAGCATAATCCACCAGTTGCCTTCGAACGAGGTGTCCAGTGAGTGGGATCCATTTCACACTTTTTCCGCTTTGAGATACGCGACACGTCTAAATAGGGATTCGGGACGCGTATTTCACCTTTTTTGAGCAGACGGTTCGGTTAAATAGACCCATGAGATCCTCTAGTGTATGGTTCACGTGGTTTAGATTGAAGAGTCCAGTCAACCAGTTGATTTCAACATGCTTGCCAAAAAATGCCCCGTAGTATGATTTCAAAATTTCTGGGGGCGATATGCAGTCATCTGCATCTATGATGTTTATCGAAAAACATGTCAGTCTCCCTGCATCAAAAACTGCGGCGCTTGGAGGTAACCTGAGAGTGCTGGCGTGAATTTACTGCACAGCAAGCCCGATTTCCCAGCTCATTGAAAAAAAGTTTATTTCGTTGTTTTGGCTCTATGAGTAATTGCATGTGAATTAGCCCGAATTATCTAGCATACTTACAGCCCAAACGATGCAGAACGGAGCGAGATAGGGCTAATTCTTTCAGAAATGTCAAAAACCTCCAAATTTAGAAAATTTTGATCCGCGCCTTCGGTACTGTCGTTGGCTGTAATCCCCCACGGTTAGAATTTAAGTGGTTGAAACTTGAACATTGATGAGCCAAATCAACATTCTCAGGCTCCTCGTTCAGCATGGGGCGGTGATTTAGGCTCTCAACGGGGTCGCGCTCTTGGTGTAACGGTAACACACAGCACTCAACGATAACCGCTCAGTCGGGGGTTCGACTCCCTCAGGGCGCCTAGCCATTTGATGATCTTCTTTTTCCCCCGAGTAGCTACAGGCGTCGGCCCAACATCGACTGCCGCTTCAACAAGTGAACTCATCCCTCTCCGCTGGTTTTATGAAGGTTTTCTGCGCAGTCCACATAACAGGTACCAATCCACGTATACTTCACTGCCGCTCTGCGAGTGTTCGGTTTGTACCGCCGGCAGTCCATTATATATCGAGGCCCTGAAGCGAACCGTACGAAGAGCAGCGTGCCGAATTCGAGAGGCGAGTGGACGCGGGTGTCGAGTTTGAATTTCCGAGCCAACCGAGTTGGTGATCGATCACGTTACCCACGGCCGCGGGTGGACATTCACTTGCAAGGGTTGAGGAAATCCGACGAGATCTTTGCGTGCTGGCAGAGGTTTTTCATTCAATCAATTGTCCAGCTCGATCCGACGACTATTTTACCCGCGGTAAAAGTTAACTTTGCGCGGTTGCGCATTGATGAGCGAAGCGCATCTGAGATGGATGGCTCAGAGTCTCCTTGTTCAGCGTACCATCTGTGACTCGCAATGCATATGTTGATGGCCAACGGGTACTGTAATTCGAGTACTGTGGCATTAGTTATGACTCAGTTGAGTTTGCCACCTTGAATCACAGCTGTCACAGGGGCGGAACACAACCTATTCAAGCACTAGTCTACGAGTGAAAATTTAAATTGTATTGGTAAATCTTCAGGACCTAACCCAAAGTTCAAGGGATCCTGAGTCGTCAGTCAATGGTGTTGGATGCGGTCGACGAGCGCGCGCGCGTTGACGTGGTTCGAAGCACCTAGCAAAGTGAATGCATGGGTTGTAAGTATGGGAGGAGTTTCCTCGCTGCTCGATCCCAGTTGAGTCGACAGTGGTGAATGTTCAAAGTCGGCACATATTAGTTTGGGTACTACACGATTCGACAGAAGTTCTCCAGGAGAAACTCAAAGTGTCTGAAGAGCTGTGGATTTCACGAGAATCCTCATCGGCGTCACAGCGACCATACGACCAGACCCCGAATAAACAGGCCGACTACTCTATGAGCAAGCGTAGCCCAACTCAACTGTGGGAATTGATTCAGGACCTTGACGTAATTTTTGGGCGTGGTGGTTGTGGTTTCGGGTGGTTTCCCATCAGGATTAACCTTTCCTCCCGTCTTTCCGTGATATTCGACCGTGAGATTCGTCTTGGACGTGCATCGGTTGTGGATACCGGCAGTTTTATTATACTAGTTGCCTGTATTGATATCTCCTGGCGTTCAAGGTGAACACCACAATTTTGTCCGGCCCGGGTTGCGCTGCACAGGGGGCTGCATTCCGCCGGAAGAGAGAGAGTGTCAATGCAAGGAAAGTATCATGCTCGCCCAGTCGCACTGATGTTTCTTTCGACAGCCGCTCAAGTCAGAGGGCTGCTGGCTCAACTCCGGCATCGATTATCTCCCAATTCAATCTCCACAATTAATGACGAGTGATCTGTCCCTCGGCTGAACTTTTAAACTCGAAAAGCAGGTCTCATAGCATGAATATCTTTCCGGAGTAGCGAGGGCATCGATCCGCCTTATCAAGGTTCAACTTGTTGACGACTTGAAGTATTCCATCGTTCACATTCGTCTTACCTCAAACTTGCCCTCTAAAGTTTTGTGTCACCCAGATATACATCAACCGCTTTGAACTAGAATCCTAGCACCGAGTTGCAACTTAGCAGGAAAAACCCGCTTGGACGACTTGAATATTCTAGTTCTATCATTATCTGGCAGGTCAGATACACACGGCTAGGGACGACCACGATGATTGGTACAACGGATTATTGAGACAATGTGAAGCAACCTCGTGGGTTAAGCATAAGAGATAATTGACATGTTACCTTCGGCGTCAAGGAGGGAAATGATGCCCAGAGCGTCGTTGAGTGCCATCCAAGACACGCATTCGAGTCTTGTCGTAGCATCCCCGATATCCACTTTCCGAAAGGTTATGGGTGGAATTTGGGTTGAACTGAAGTGCAGCAGTCGTAGGTAGGCAGCCCCATCGCTAGAGGACCCCACATCGACAAGTAAGAGAACGTAGGTTCCTGCGTGGCCAACTGCCCACAGTTTGATGTCGTCCCTCTGTTCATGGTGATAAGACTGTCCCGGTCGTAAGACCGTCCCTGTGTCGGAGGTGGCAATTTCTCCCTGCCAAAAGTGAATTACCGAGATGCGGGAGCCCTCCCATGTGAAGGATCTGCTGGTTACCGCGAAGACACCATGGCGGGGCGAACACACATGTGATTCATGCCATGCCATGGCTCCGGAAAACATGTTGCGAAGCTCCCTTTGGTTCGATGCAAAGGAATACCGGGTGGGGATAACAGTTGTGGTCATCGATTTCGGAGTAGCATCGAGGTTGCCGACGTGGGGAAACGAAGACAGATATTGGACTGAGGCGTTGGCACCGATGGATCCCCGGGAGAACATGTAGATACTTTGGCCAACGGGAAAATAAGAAGGGCCTAGCTAGAGAGTAAATGAGCCAAGTAGACGTAAAAGGGCAATGGAACTGTACAATGTGGCGTACTAGATGGGGTTGTTTCACCACGTTGGCGTTGGGATTCATGGACCACGTTATTACGTAACCGGGACCAAAGAACCCTGCGACCTGGGGAGTGATGAAGAAAGATCCCCGACATCGCTCGTTAACCACAGGGGATACCACATGGGATATGGAAACGCGAGCGCCGTCGCGATAATCAATGCAAATGGCGACCAACCTTTCAACGTGAAGGTCGATCCTAAAGAGGTATCAATGTATATCTGCGGCGTGCGTGGAACATAATACCCAATAGCAGCGCAAATAAGAGCCCCTCCATCCTCCTCCATACACGGGACTCCCATTCTCACAAAGAGGCCGGGAATTTCCAAGTGTGTGACACGTTTGCCATCCAGGATGTCCCAGCAGCTCATGCTTCCCCCCGCGTCAGCATGAGTCACGATGAAAGGGGTCCCAGTGAGGCAGAAGAATCCATGATTGGGTTCAACCGACAACTGAGCAATACGAGTGGGACGTGGATTGTCGGACCTCCAGTTCTTCATCAGTCGGTTAACCTGTTGCGCAGTGTGCTGGAGTCGCTTCAGGGACAATGTGGTCAGGTTCTGTGTATTCGACAACGGATGCGGCTGCCTCTCGACCTCCCGTATTCGGACGAGAGAATCGAGCCAAAGACTCTTGTGGAGCTCAATTTTGCGGATGACGCGGCAGGTCTGTACACAGATTCAGCATGGAAGGACGTTAGGTCTGGCTGACCGCATACCGAAAGAAGGCTAATGAGATCGGCAACATTCAAGTCTTTGGCGAGCTCCAAGAGTATATCCTCAGGAACCTCGAGGATGGAAGACATGACTGACGAAGGCAGGTAAACGGATCAAGATGCAGTGAAGTTCCGCCGGTGGATGATTGTCATGAGATAATTTTAAATACTAGTATCCAACTTTTCAAGAAAACCGTCTCGGACGCTGAACGGCAGCACAATAACCGGAGTGCAATATCCAGATCATCCATGTTTGAGCGGCCTGCATGCGAAGGCCCGCGAATACTTCAGCTTGATTGCAAGGTCTTGTGGAGACCGTATTTATTGTTAAGGGTTCCTTGCACAAAAGTGGCGCCCCATAATTCCCAAATGATTCCGCAATTTTGCTCAGCGGTATCAGTGTTGGCGAACAGGGCGGCGGTGCGAAAAGTAAAGGAAAACTTGCGCACGGGTCCGGGGAGATTGATCAGGGTTTCTTCGAGATAGATTAGGCTATGGCGCTGGACACTAGTGTTGCCGGTGTCGGGTTCAGAACCGATTCTGAACCTGAACCGAACCCGAACCGAACCTCAGTTGAGGTTCGGGGTTCGGGCAATGTTCGATTTTCCCGAACCCGTTCGGACATGTGCGAACCGGTTCGAACCCGAAGCTTTTGAGGGCGTATTTTAGTGATATTTTTGACCGATTTCCGACCCAAAAACTCCCTCAACCTCACTTCATACCTGGTGAAGAGTGTTGGTGTTGAAGTATGTGGGTGCTTCACTGGGCGCGGCTCATAATGATGTCCCCGAAGCGCCCGGATGGTACTGAATATAATTTCCACTGCCAATTAGGGTAAAGAGTACTCATTTTGAGCTGGTGGAACAGGCCTTGTCTGTGTTCTGAGTACCTACCATGCATTCAACAAGTCAGTATGCCTTTTCACAATGTTTTTACACCCCAACAGTGACCCTGTAAAAATTACAGGTTCGTTCAGGGTTCGAACCCCTTCTGAACCTGAACCGAACCTGTATGAACCGAACCTCGGTTCGGGGTCGGTCAGGTTCGGGGGTTCGGATTTTTTGGCTAAAAACCGGACCGGACCGGACATCGGCAACACTACTGGACACGGGGAAATGACTCCCTTGGGTACGCCCTGGCCCACACCCAAGGTAGAATTCCGTGACATAAGGCCTGGATTTTCGCGGTGTCCCAGTTCTGCAGCCAAGACCCAAGGTCCCAGAGGCTACTCGAACGAGAGTATTACGTCGATTCTCAAGTTGCTACGGAACCAGAGACCGCAAGTTGGCGATTATCAACTTGGATGCGTTGGATTCATGTCGAAGACGCGGAAACGGCTTGAGGTGTACGCTTAACCGGGATATTGCGTTGAACGGGAAACCCGTTCTCGCTCGGCGTTGTGCGTGGGGCTTCGGCTTTCCCGGAAATCGTTCGCGTGTGTATGGTACACCATGGCCCGTGCGCGTGTGGGGGTTGGCGGGGATTTGAGTTTACGTTTTTTGGGTGGTGGCGGTGGGTGAGGTACTTTGGGGGACTTTGTCCTTGCGCTGTGATTCTTGTGTGGATTAGCGCCTTTACCACGATGCAGATGGGTAGCTCGGACGCCGTCTCCCGGATTATGCTGACGCTGGTCGACGATTTGTTTGCGGACGTAGCGAGCGCCAGATTCTTTTAATTTAATTTAATTTCTTGTCTGCTTTGTCATCGTAATTCTAGTC